AAACAAGATCCCATACATAATGGCAATAAAAAATAAAAGAAATAAACCTTGGGAGGGGGTAATAAATAAGAAATTTACATATGAAAATGATGGCATTACAAATTAATAGGGGAAAGATGGATTATTTGACATTAAGTTGAAAAATTAAACATTTTCTGGAAGAAAAGCAAGAACCATTTTAAAATTTGGAGAAAGAATAATCCATAACTCACTCCTTATATTAAAATAAATTCCAGATGTAAATATAACCTACCAGGTTATTTTTATCATCATTAATGAAGAAGTAAGATACAAAACTGAGATGTGTGAAGGAAAACAAATGGATAATCCTGACTATATACATATTAAATTTCTCTACATCAAAATAACTGTAAATAATAATAAAAGACTAATTTGTAAAATATTTGCCAAATTTATAATGAATGGCTAATTTTCCCAAAAAAACTAAAAGCTCTTTCAAATAAATACTAAAAAATCAACAACTCAATAGAAAAATTGACCGAAGATACAAATAGGCCAGTGATGGCGAACCTTTTGAGCTCAGCGTGTCAGCATTTTGAAAAACCCTAACTTAACTCTGGTGCCGTGTCACATATAGAAATTTTTTGATACTTGCAACCATAGTAAAACAAAGACTTATATTTTTGATATTTATTTTATATATTTAAATGCCATTTAACAAAGAAAAATCAACCAAAAAAGTGAGTTCGCGTGTCATAGGTTCGCCATCACTGAAATAGGCAATTCATGATAGTAATGCATATTTCTACCATTTCAGCTATATTATGTTTATAGAATTTAACTGTATTGATAAATATAGATCATCATAATCATCTGTTGATCCTAAAACAAATATTGATGCCTGGCTTCCAGATATTCTGATATAATTGATGTGATGTGTGACTGGGCACTGAGATTTTTAAAAACTCCCCTGGTGATTCTAATGTTCAATGGTTTGGAATCACTGGCATATGCAATAGACCTAGAAAAGATTGTCACTGTCACTAAGAATGTAAATTAAAACAACGAAGAGATGTCATCTTTCATTCATTGACCAGATTGGCAAGGATGGAAAGTTGGTAAGACTCAGTGCTGGTCAGGGTGTGGGGAAGAGTCAGCAAGACTTTGTTGATCAAATATAAATTGGCACAGACTTTTTGAAGGACAATTTAATAATCTCTATTAATACATAAAAATATTTATAGAAATTTATTGTACATAAACTCTTGTACAAATCCTCAAAGATGTTCAATTTAGCATTACTCCTCTAACTTTTTTTATTTTTATTTTTGTTGGTGTTGTTTGTTTGTTTGGTGGAACAAGGGCTATGGCTTTGAAGTTGTTGATGGATGGAGGTAGCAGTCATCCCTCTCCCTAATACATCTTAGTACAATGGCATCTGGGCCTTGGGGACTTGCTGAGGGGAGCTGGATAGCACTCTCTCTTAGGAAAACAATCTAGTTGCATCCATAAATTTATACAGGAGCAGAGCAGCCTCTTGAAGGAAAAAAGAGGTTGGGACCTTGACATCTTCCCATTGGGAATTCAACTTCCTAAAATGTAGATGATGAACAAAGAGATCCTCAAGAGAGCCACTGAGGTCAGATGGCCAGGAAGGACAATGGGAGTCCCAGAGAGGAAATGTACCATAAGGATGAGAGAAGGTTGGACCAGTGTCTTGGACTCAGTACCAGGGCTTAGCTTACTGGAAGCTAAGGCACAAGGATCCTGCTGGAACTCCTTTGCACTTATTTACCTTGCTACCATGGGTCTATTTTGGGCGAACTGGCTTCCTGTGTGTGAGAATTGAAGGGGTGGTCATTACTGGTAACTAGGTAACTTTGCTGGGCGACTCTCTTCATTGATCCTTATAGAGCAGGTACATTCCTTAGCTGAGCACATCAGAAGAGATGTTTTGGAGAGAAGTCTAGAGTCAGCAGACAAGTGATGGGGAGACTGCCTCAGGGACAAGGGCATCAACCTTGGGAGTTCTCTGGCCTACTTGAAGGAAAATCATTGGGAAATATTGAATTCTCTGCCAACTTGGCAAGCAGGAGAGAGGAAATCACTGTAATTTGGATATTAATAACCATGACATGTTTTCTAGGCTTTGGAGTAGTATTCATAGCTTTAGAAACAACCTAGGTGATATAACGTTATATTGTAGCATTTTTCAGGTGTTCTTTTTTTTAATGGCAGAAGAAAATGATCACTAATTGCTGTTAGGTGGAAAGGATGAGTTTTGCAATGCGAGCTCAATTTAGCATGTTTAAATATCCTATATAATAAAAGGCTAATATGCAAATTGACTGAACTGCAGAACGACCGATCGCTATGATGCGCACTGACCACCAAGGGGCAGACGCTCAATGCTGGCAAGCCCAGTGGTGACAGCAGAGCTCCTGGACTACAAGAGGGCACAGGCCAGGCTGAGAGAACACCCTTCCCCTCCCCCCCGCCCCGCACCTAAATGCAAAAATCTCATGTACCAGACCTCTAGTATGTATATAGAAACAAAACTTATTTCTATGTATATATGTGCCTCAAAAAAGAATGAAAGGAAAATATTAAGAGTTCAAGAAGTTATGCCTAGATGATGGGATTATTGAGAATGTGTTTTTTAAATATGTTTTATAATTAATTTTTTAGAGAGAGAGGAAGGGAGAAGGATAGAGAGATAGAAACATTGATGAGAAGAAACATCATTGATCAGCTGCCTTCTGTACATCCCCTACTGGGGTTCCAGCCTGCAACCCAGGCATGTGCCCTCACTGGGAATTGAATGGATGACCTCTGGTTCATGGGTCAATGTTCAACCACTGAGCACAGGATGTTTATTTTCTTTATTCAACTTTTAATATTTCTACTGTCTATACTGAACAAATACTACATGTTATTTATAGTCAGGAAACCAATTTTTAAAAAAATCAAAATTATTATATGTTAAATATATGGATAAAATTTTTATAGGTTAACTAAGTGAAGAGACAGGGAAAGAAAACAAACCTGTATTTCGTGCCTCCTCTGTGCCAGGCCACCGTGCCAGCTATCTACATATGTCAACTCTGTCAGGAGTAGCAGATATAGTCTCTCATACTCGTCCTCTGAGAGTAGTAAGAAGTGTTGAGTGTGGACAGGGCCAGGCCTGCCCACCCAGGGGAGGCATTGTTTCTCAACTGCTGGGAAGCCTCTCCTCCTCGCACCAAGCAGCTAGTCCACTGCCCACCATCCGGAATGTCCTCTTCCTCTTTCCCCAGCTGCAACATTCAGATGGGTCAAGGAAGGGGGCAAAGCCATGGCTCACTGAAAACTTGACTGAAGCAGCCCTAGCAGGATGGTTCATACACCAAAAGGTTATGGGTTTGAGTCCTGATCAGGGTACATACCTAGGTTGCAGGTTCAATCCCTGGTCAGGGTACATATAAGAGGCAACTGATCAATGTTTCTATCTATCTATCTATCTATCTATCTATCTATCTATCTATCACCTATCTATCATTTATCTATCTTTTCTTCCCCCTTTCTTTCATCAATAAAAACATATTCTCAGGTAAGGATTAAAAACAAAACAAAACAAAAAAAAAACTTGACTGAAGTCCAGGACAGCAAGGCCTTGAAATTGCTGATTATGGAAGCTAACTTTGGGTGTGCAAAGGGCTCAAGAATAGAAAAAGATTTGTCACAGTTTGATTCCTGGTCAGGGCACATGTCTGGGTGTGGGCTTGATCCCCAGTAGGGTGCATGCAGGAGGGAGCTGATCAATGATTCTCTCTCATCATTGATGTTTCTATCTCTCTCTCCCTCTCCCGTCCTCTCTGAAATCAATATATATATTTAAAACGATTAGACCGATGTTGTGTCACACCTGATTGTGGAAATGGAGCCTTTGTGGGTAAATAGATTTGACCTTAGTATAAGAAAGAACTTAGGCACTCGGAAGGTAGTATGCGTCCAGTGCTGGAATTATGCCATGGGTACCTGCCTGTGAGGCATAGAGGAGAGTCTGCTGGGCAGGAGAATGCTCTAGAATCCAGGTGACCTGTTTCAGCTTTGAGGTTCTGTTATTCTATGTAGCCATGCCCCTCCCAGGAACAGGTGGCTGATCCCGAGCTTGGAGCACCTGTGGGGGAGGCCTTCTGAAGGTCAGGCTGACCTTTGTTGCCTCGTGTATAAGGTACTCCAAGCGTGGGATTTTCACTAGGCAACGAGGAGAGGGAGGGCAGGGCCTGCCTGGCCTGGCCAGGTAGCTATTTGGGGAAAGGTTTTGTGGATAGCCATCGCCTCCAGCTTTCTTAGGCCCGGCCCTGGAGCTCACCTCTCAGGGCCACTCTGACAGCAACGTGGAACCTTTGGTCCCGGTTCTTATCTGCCCAGTGACACATGGCAGGAAACGCCTTCAGCGAAGAGCTGGAGGACACCGAAACAAACCAACACACAAACAAAAAAACAACCAAAACAAAGACCAACCAAACTATAAACCAAAGAGGCCGCCAACAAAACGCTTACTACAACACATTTTCACCGGCTAGTTGGAGACAACACCCACACAGAAAATATAGAAGACAGAGAAGTGTTTTGGAGTCAGAGACCTGAATTCACATCTTTGCTGTGGTACTGACTAGCTTGGTAGCATTAGGCAATTACGTTATCTCAGGCATTGTTTCTCAACTGCTGGGAAGCCTCTCCTAAGTTACCTAAGCTGTTAAATAGCATTAACTGTACTTATTTTGAAGGATTGTTGTAAAGATTAGAGATTATATACATATGTGATTGGCAGATAGAGTCTGGCTCATAATAAACCTTCATGAATTGTAGCTATAGCCGTTTTTTTAAAAGGGAAAATTTTTTATTGATTTCAGAGGGGAAGGGAGAGGGAGAGAGAAATAGAAACATCAATGATGAGAGAGAATCATTGATCGGCTGCCTCCTGCATGCCCCACACTGGGTATGAGCCACAACCTGGGCATGTGCCCTGAGCCATTCCAGTCAGGCCGCTATTGCTATTTTTTTGTTTGTTTGATGGCTGATTTTACTGTGACGGCAGAAGTGGTGTTGTAGGTCCAGGCACCACCAGCGACGGTCTTCATGCAGGAACCACAGTGCCAGATCCCCACGGCTCGCCTCTTCATCTTGGTTTTGCCACAGAAGGAGCAGGTGTACTTGGCGTGCTGGCTGATTTCAATTTTCTTCACCATTTTCCTGAAGGAGGCGCCATAACAGGTCCTGTATTTACCGACGATTCCGACCTTCTTGGTGCGTTTCGCCACGTCGCTGCGAACCAGGTTGGAAGCCGAGAGGAAGGAGCGCACTGCGCAGGCGCGGTTTTAGGCAGAGGAACCCGCTATTGCTATTTTTATTATTTTTGCTACAGGACCAATACATTGGGAAGAACTAACTATAAGTGAACCTGGGAGACAGAGAACCGAAAAGCAGAGTGAGCTGGGCAGGGAAGGCTTTGTTCACTGACCACAACCGCTAAGTGCGGGCACTCTGCGGGCTCAGGGCATCGGAGAGGATGCCTGTGCGTGTGGCCCTCCCGGTGACGAAGCAGTGATATGCAATGAGCAAATAAATAAAAAGCAATGTATAATCGCTCATTATGTCTTATCAAGGTGCTATCAAAGACGCGAACAGAGGTCCCTGATTTAGACTGGGGAGGAGTGAGAGATGACTTCTTGGAGGAAGCAGCCTTTAAGCTAAACATTAAAGAAGATTGGAGCTAGCTCTACATGGCTAAAGGGACAAGCTGGTGTGCAAGGTGCTGAGAAGTGGCAAACGTTGGTGTGTTTAGCAACTGAACATGTGTGTCTGGGGCCTTGCGAGTCAGGAGGGATGAGCTGAGAAATGTCTGGGAAGGTGGGCAGTTGGCTGGATCACCTAGGCCTTGAAAACCGGGGTAAGGATTTGATATTTTATCTTAAGGGATCAGATGCCATTGGCGAGGAGTAAGCAGGGAAGTGACATGAATATGATCACTATTGGTGCTGTGAAGGGCACGGATGGGACAAGACTGGAGTTGTAGTGGTTCAGACAGGGTGAGGGGCAGAGATGGAGAGAAGTAATGGATTCAAGAAGCATTTGGGGCTAGAACCTACACAGAGGGATGGATTAGATGTGAGGGCAGGGCAGGGGATGCCCAGGGGCCTCAGTAACCTGGTGGGAAGAGATGTCATCCATAAGGTGGTCCTGAAGGGAAATCTATCAAGTGCCAAAGTACTTGTGGGGCCTGAAATGTGGGCCAGGTTAGGAAAGGGAGAGCATTCCAGGAGGGAAGCAGCAGAATCCAGGTGACAAGGTGGGAATGTGCTTGCCTCACACCATGTGGGTGGCACTGAGTGGGGTGAGTCCTGCCATGAGGAAAGGGTGGACACTGGGCCGCAGGGTGTGTGACAGGAGTGGGGAAGGAGCTGGGGTGGGGCCTGATTACTCCAGACTTCTGAAGCCACGCAGAGGTATCAGCTTTGATGCCAGAGATAATGGGAAGCTGCATGGGCTCTTAGGCCAGCAGCCAGGTAGCCATCCATCACTCAACGTGGCAGGTCTCTGCCAGGGGCTGCAAAGACATGAATAAACAGCCACAAAGCTGTGCTTCCTGGAAACATTTGCTGACAACCTACTCTGATACTAGCGTGGGCCGTTTCTAGAGAAAGCCCCTGGGCCCTCAAGACACCACCTTCTCCCCTGGTTTCTTCCAACCTCACTGGCTACCCGTCTCAGTCCCCTTTCACGGCTCTTCGGCCTCCACCAGGCATCCAGCAGGTGGAGAGCAGGAGGGCGAAGACTGTGCCTCTCTCTTCTGCCTCTGCACCCTGACCTTCGGAGAGCTTATCCAGCTCTGTGGCTTTAAAATACATCTACATGCTGCTTCCTACATTCAAACTGATTGTCCTCCCAGCCTATCTTCTGAGTTCCAGCAGCCTGTATTTTCAACTGCCCACCTGACATTTCCCCTTGGATATATCAGAGGCACCTCAAATTTAAAATGTCCAAGTGCCACTAAGTGCAGGGCACTCGTCCAATCCTCTCCACCCTAATCCCCGCCACCCTAACCCATGTTTCGTTGGTGTTACCCAGCTGAGTAAGGGGTACCTCCCAGTTATCAAGGCAAAAACCTAGGAGGATCTTTGATTTCTCATTCCATATCCAGTCTCTCAGCAAGTCCTGTAAATGCTGCCTCCAGAAAACTCCAGAATCTGTCCGTTACTACCACCCTCACCAAACCTCTGCCATTTACTCCAGACTACAGCAGAAGCCTCACCCCTCTCCCGGTTATGCTCTCGCCCCCCAGGCAATCCACTCAGAGCAACACCAGAGCGGCCTCCCGCAGGACCTGCCAGGGTAAGGTCTGACCTCACGTTCTACCATTGACTTCTTCCCCTCTTCCCCTGCTCTTGCTACCCAGTCACACTGTTTTTTTCTAGAACAGACCAACCCTGAGCCATCCTGCCTGACGTCTCCTCCCTGTTGCCACTCACCCTTTATCGCAAATTTTGTTTTTACATCTTTGACACAGAAATAACCATATATTTATTTGTTGAATGTCTCATATATTTATTTGTTGAAGGTCTCCTCCAGTAAAATGTAAATTTCCAGAGAGATGGATCTTGTCTGACCTGCTCTGTGCTCAATCTCCCACTCCTGCAACAACACTAGGTGTACAGCGGGAGCTCAGTAAATATTTGTTCAGTGAATAAATACATGCTTTGGATGTGATTCCTGGTCTTCTTGAAATGGAAGCTATGTGACAAGCCCCAGGAAGAGTTACCTAAGAATATGGTGCAGGAAATGGTAACTCTGAGCCGTGATTCACAGCTCATCTGAGAAACTCATTTTTGCTGAAGTGTTGTTGGGTGACAAAATGCTATCTAGTAATGCCAGCCTCTAATAGGGCCCTTGAAAGATAAAGGTGTGATCTATTGGGTAACCTCTGAAGGACCAAAGTAGGGGACAGATGAGGAGCTATTTGAAGATCGGCAGGTCCTTGTGGTTCCCTCCAAATTTTCCATGTAAGTAATCAAGGTCTCTTCTGTCACAATTTACACACACATCCTTCCCAATCAAAACCCCGCTCCATACCTACACTCCCTATCACTATATAGTGATTCTTCTTAGCTTGTTCAGATATTTCATAAAGATCTTAGGGAATGACCATTTAACCAGTGTCTGAGAAATTCCACAGACATTTGTAAAAATAAAGCAACTATAACTACCCTAACTGGGTAGCTCATTTGGCTACAGCAGTGATGGCGAACCTTTTGAGCTCGGGGTGTCAGCATTTTGAAAACCCTAACTTAACTCTGGTGTTGTGTCACATACAGAAGTTTTTTGATATTTGCAACCATAGTAAAACAAAGATTTATATTTTTGATATTTATTTTATATATTTAAATGCCATTTAACAAAGAAAAATCAACCGAAAAAATGAGTTCGCGTGTCACCTCTGACATGCGTGTCATAGGTTTGCCATCACTGGGCTAGAGTGTTGTCCAGATACGCCAAGGTTGTGGGTTTGATTGCCAGTCAGGGCACAAACAAGAAGCAACCAATGAATGCATAAATAAGTGGAACAACATATCAATATTTCTCTCTCTCTCTCTCTCTTTCTCTCCCTCCCTCTCTCTCTGAAGTCAATAATAATAATTTAAAAAACTCTGACATTTCACCATAAATCTTAATAAATTATAGTACAGGCGCACAATAGAATATTATTTGGCCATTAAGGTGACAATTATGAAGTTGAAGTATCAATCTAGAAATCATTCGTGACTATAATTTTAAGTTAAGAAAAAACCTGGTATCAATATGATAAACACAACTACATCGACATTATATAAGGAGAAAAAGGCTGAAAGAGAATCGTTACTGTGTTGCATTAATGGGATTATGGTGGATTTTTCCTTTATGCTTCCCCCAATTTTTTCAAGTTAGGTTTACATATATACCAATGAAAATGTAAAGATTAAATACAATGACTCAGTGCGGCCCTGTGGCCTTTCTGCTCTTCCCTCAAGCAACTGGAACAAGACAGGAGCCATGGGCACAGCTGCACTCCTCACCATGCCAGGCGTGGAGGTGACGGGGTCAGACGGGAAGAAACGATCATAAAGTCATAACAGCAACAGCAACAAGGGCCAACATTGTTCCCACTTCGTGTGCTCCAGGCCCTCTGCTAAGCATGTTATTGACTCCTCATCTCACAATCTTTTTTCCCGTGAGTGAAGAAATTGAAGTCTGAAGAGACGAAGGAACTGGTCTGAGGTCACAGGGCTGGCAAGAGGGAAAGATATGGAACCCTGGTCTGATTCCGCAACCCGTGCTTTTAATCACTCGTACAAATACTGAACCACTGTGTCTTAGGGGCTCTGCTAACTTTCAGCCTCCACTTCTATGTGAGTCAGAGGCTTCTGACCTCTCTAGCGGGACCAGCACCGGGCACACAGCCCCCTGCAGCGTATCGGGAACAGGCCTGGCCCACTGGGCCACAGAGGTCTGCACAGGAGGTGCAATCAGGAGAGGAAGGAGAGGAAAGCCTGCTCGTTGGGGGCAGGAGGGTTGCAGGAAGGGTGGGAAGGTGTGAGCACTGGGGCGGGACTCTTGATCACTCTTCACTTGTGGCTCTGAGAGGAGTCACGGGCAGAGGAGTCACTGGCGCTTCCATGGGGCAGTCTGTCTGGTCCAGGGGTGGGTGATGTCCTCGGACGATTGGTCAACCTCCAGCAGCCCTCAGCCACCTTGTGTGGTAAACACCAGGTTGATAGCCACAACTATGAAGTGGGACCTACTGGAGCCAGGCAAGTTGAGCCCATGGTCAAGGCCCAGTAAGGTTCCACCAAGCCAAAGTCCAGATAGAGGACGAGGCAGAGGCAGAGGGAGAAGCAGAGGCTCGATAGCAGGCCAAGGGGCCACGTGCTCCTTGTGAGAAGGAAGGGAGGTTGGGGCCCTGCCGAGCTCAGCCTGGCACGGTCACCGAGACCATAGCAACTGGAGGAGCACAGCACACTGCCCCCTCCTCCATGGCTGGGAGCCTGCAGGAAGCTCACATGCCGCCCAGAGGAGAGCTTGGGGAGGCAGATATGGATCCAGTGACAATTACCTAAAGACACTGTTCACTACATTTACCAGATCAGATCGAACTTCCCTGAGGTTTTCTCTTCACTGACCAATAGGTGGAGGCCACGAGGAAGGCCAAATCAGTCACTTCCTCCAACTCCCTCTGCGTCGCACATGATGACATTCCTGTCCCTGCCCTGCCTCTATGCTAGGTTGCACAATTTGAGCATCTATTATGTCTCCGGCACTCTGCTAGGGCTTCCACATGCAGGAT